GCGCCACACCCCCTCTTCTTCCAGGAGTCTCGAGCCTGGGAGTCCCCTTCCCCGCCCTTTGAAGTTCTCCGGGCCCCACCCCCGCACTCCCTCTCTTCCAAGAAGTCCCCAGGGCCGTCTCCGTCGCCGTGGTCCTCCAGGGCTCTGCTCTTCCGTATCAGAGCTGGACTAGATCGGTGCTTCTACGTCATCTGCTCCCCAGTGTCCAGTTGTGCCCTGGAAAGTGCCGAATGCCCGCTCCTCCTCGCTCCGTTCATGGCCACCCAATTCCTGAAAGTAAAGTCTAGCCTCCTTATCAGGCGTTCAGGGTCCCTCCTTGTTCCGCCCCTCTCCACCAACTCCTACCCTTCCTGAGCCTTGCCCAGGTCTGGTGGTGGTGGTGGTGGTGGTGGAAGCTGATGTCTCAGCTCAAAGATACCTTCTGCTGGGTGTGGTGGCTCACACCTGTGATCCTAGCACTTTGGGAGGCCTAGGCGAGGGGATTGCCTGATCCCAGGGGTTCAAGTCCAGCCCAGGCAACTTGGTGAGACTTCGTCTCTACAACCAAGAAAAATTAGCTGGGCGTGGTGGTGCACACCTGTAGTTCCAGCTACTTGGAAGGCTGAAGGAGAATTGCCTGAGCCCAGGAGGTTGAGGCTGTGGTGGCCAGGTGCATGCCTCTACACTCCAGCCTGAGCAACAGAGTGAGACTCCAACTCAAAATAAATAAATAAATAAAAAGATACCTCCAGGAAGCTGGCCCTAATTTCCAATGTCATCCCCTACCCCCACCCCAGACCTTGGGCTAGGGACTCTTGTGTTTTCACAGCTCCTGGTGCCCAGTGGGGCATGGTCCTCCCCTCCCTTCTCTGAACAAGGACATGGGGAGTTGGGGAGTCGTGTCTGCACTACAGGCTGAGGCTCTCAGACCCCGGGGCCGGAAATTCCCTCCACTCGCCCACCCCTCCCTTCTTCTGGAGGCTTTCAATTGGGAGAAATATCAAGTCAGCCCCAGCCTAGCCCAGCCATGCAAGGGGATCAGTCTTCAACCCTTGCATCTGTATGGATGTGGACTAACCCTAATTTCGTTCACAGCAGGACAAGCTGTGTCAGGTGGCCAGAGCACTGGTGGCCAAGAACTCGTGGGAACCCTTGAATTCTAGAGACTCCTGGGATTGGCAGGGTTGTGGCTAGAGGCCCGGGGTGTAGGGGCTTGCCCAGGACCAGGCTACCCCAAGACCGACGCCAGGCCAGGGCACGACCTCTTCCACAGTGGCCACCACTCACTGCAAGGAGGAGTGGGTAGGTGGGTGGAAAGTGGATGCGCAGCTGCCTGACCAGTATGTCAGGGGAGAAAAGGGCCCATGGTGGTGACCATCACTTGCACAGACTCAGCTTCGTCTTCTGGCCGCCTGCCTGGCTTACTCCAGGGCCCAAAGCCTGGGTTCCTGCTCCCATTCGGCCAGCCCGGACCCAGCCCCGATTCCCTAAAGTCCAGTGGGCCCTCAGAAGGCAGAGGAGGGAGGGTGGGGACTCAACATGACTCCAGGTAAACTCCGAGGGGCTAGGCCCACATGAGCTCTGGGGTGCTGTCAGTCTGCCCATGCTGTCCCCAGATGCCTTTCCAACCTTACACCTGGCCTTGCCCTCCCCACCC